TCGCCACCCCAATGCCAACCTTTCACTTGGCATCTCAGCTGATGAGTCGCCGGCCATTGGCAACAATTAGTGCAGAGTCAGCCAGGAATCCCCTCTAACTCCTATCTGCTCATTCCCCTGCCCCTGGCCTGCATGCTCTGAGCCAGTTAGACACAACAGGCTCACTTACCATTTTAACTTTTATTTGAAATGGCACTCCTGTGTAGTGGAATAATGGGGTCAGATACAGAGAGCCTTTCAATGATTCCACAGTGCTCACTTACTTATTCAAGTGCAGTGACAGCCAAGGGAATGCACATTTAAATGGATGGTGCTAGATTAAGTAATGTTTTGCCCATAATATGCCAAGACAGCTTTTGGCAAATCGCCTCAGTAAAGAGGAAACAGATTGTTGGTTTTACATTCCGTGTTTTTCTTTTAAGAATTTACAAATATTGCCAATTCAGAAAGACCCCACAGTGATACACAGATAGATACTATTCCTAATTCATAATTAATTTTCCTTTTCAACGAGGACTATGATGTACCTCGCATGCCAATGCAGTCGTGACCACTGCTGTGGAGGCGATGATGGCATGTGGCAGAGAAGTAACTGTTTCTCACCTCCTAATAAAAGAGGCTCCTTTTAATCTTTTCAATTTGATTGCATTCCAAAACAGGCCTGTCTGCCCATCTGTCTCTCTTAAAGAAGCCTCCTAAAGGGATTTTAATCATCTGATGCTGAGCTTCTCAGGCAAATAGCTAAATATCTCTTTCTCTCATACACACACTTTTCCTGCACACACAACCAAGGCATTAGTGCTTTTCTCGTATCTATCTTCCTTGTCCTATTTGTTTCCAATAGGTTACACCACCTCATGTCTACAATAAAAATCGGTGCAGCTATGAGGCCTCTCAGGCCCACTTCAGGTCCCCCTCAAGACACATCACACCCCCAACCCTGTCCTTATTAATCTACATGGCTCTAAATTCTTTATTTGCTTCAAAGGGACATCACGAGCCGTGACATCAATCACGAAAAGCGAATATTTAGCCGGCGCTAATTTCCACCAATAGCCTGGAGACAAGCTTAGCTGACAAAACTGTGCTGAACAAAACTGCCTGTGTTGAAACCTCCCCTCCCCCTGATCCCCGCTGCCTTCTGCAGAGGCAAATACGGCTTCACAATAAATGCAGTTAGCTTGTTTGCCCCCCTTGATTTGGGCTTATCAAATGATTGTGCACCATAGAGGTATAGCCTTTGACAATACATAAAGGCTCCATTCTGCCTGAAATGGTTGGGTAATACCAGTCGAGTGTGGCAAACGGCTCTACCCGGTGCCACTACAAGAACAGCTGCTGTGTTCTTCGACGCCACACGGCATCACCCTTGAGGTTGTTCAATCGGGTGAGTGGTTTCTTTTTGCCTGTTCCCAGACCCCACTCACGGGCCATAGTTCCTCACTCAGTTCTGTGTGAATGAGTGCACATTGGCCACAAGATAGGTCCTTTAAAGCATTTGACCTGTTTCCTTACCCCTCTGTTGGTGAGTCTGTGTGTGGGTGATAGTAAAAAGGGAAAACGCTTTAGATGGTTGTGGGTGGGGGTTGAAGGAGGAGTGTGGGAAGAATGGGGGGCATTTTAAGGGCATCACTTTGTATGGTTCCCAGGGCCCCCCTGTATTTTGACATTCCCATCTCCCATCCTTCAATCCAAGTTCTTGTATTCTTGTAAGGCACAGCTGCCATCGTGCCCATCAGCCGACCATTTCTCACAAATATCTATGCATTTAGAGTTTTTTCTAGTAACAAGTGAGAAGTGTACTGGGCAAGTCGCCAAGTTAATTTGCCAAAACAAATGTGCCATTATAATAATTTGAAAGACTCACAATTTTCCCTTTACCAAGTAGTTTTTTTTCAAAAGCCAGATATACTGTATGTGAGTACTACATAAATAAAGCGTCACTCATTCTTGAGCAAATCCTTTCAAATATACTACCAATAACAAAACATGCTTAAGATTGTAGCTGGAGGAATACAACTTTTTATACATTTTCAAATCGAAATATCTGTTTTTTGCAAATGAACTGTCTCATGCAGCTGCTTTGCCATCATAAAAAAAATAAAAATAAAAGAATAGAACAGAAGATATTTTGAAACTTTGAGAGTACAACATGAATCCTATGCTTTATCCAAGGACTGAAGAAGCTTTGATTATGCCATAATCATGATTTATTATGGCTGAATAAGTCCCATCAATGTGATTAGGGGTGCATGTTGATGCAACTGTCTGCTTGTGCTTCCCACGTTATGGGACAGCAGAGCATCTCGGTCCACCCTTTGGCTTATTCATTATTTATAGGCCTCACTCTGTGGCCCTTTGAATTAAAGGGGGATGATTTGAATAGGAAGTAGCTCCAAGGACCCAACCACGATGTTGTCTGTTCCTCCATCAATGTATGTTTCTATAGGCTTCATTCATCTTCTCTGGCAAGCTCGTATAAGCTGTATGAGAATTTCCATGATATGAATATTTAATACAGAATAAAGTTTTACATTTCTTTTCTGTTCAAGCCTTAGGGGTAAACTGTCTCGGGCTAATGACCGTAGTGTGTCGGACGTATGACAGACACCACTCACATGTGCTCAGTCACAGACTGTATTTTACTCAAATACACACTGGCAAAGTTATTTAACACTATCCTATTAAGGCTTTGGTGCGGCCCTTTTTCATGCTTCTCACATTGGTTTTTTGCTGTATTGCTATAGGATCATAGCAGTTTCGGGCTGCCCGCTGTGTCCGTGGCGACCTGACATGGCTTTGTATGAGACACCCAGCTGGGAGTGCCCCTGAATCAACTTGGGATTAGCCAAGGATTGTCTGGGATTACTCAGGGATGGAGAAGGATTAGCAGTGACTGCCTGTTTCAGGGGCGTGAGGGCCATAGGATGGCCAAATTGCCCCTGACTCAGTCTCAGGCACCAGGAGGTCAAGAGTCACACCCACAGTACAACCACCTGCAATAGGAATCTGACAGGAAAGAAACTACTGTGGAAAGCACAGGAAGCCACTCGCTTGCACGATGATGATGATGATGATGATGCCAGTGTTGGCTACAGTCCGAAATCACACAAATCTCTGTAGCAGGTGGATTCATCAGATAAAGAGGGTTTGGGATGAGGACAAATCCCCTCAAGTTCAGTGGGACTGCTTCTCTCATACCAGAAGATAAATTGAGATTTGAATCACTACATTGCAACATGGCTCTTGGAAATAGTGGTAATATGATTGGCATGAAGTAAAGAATGATATTTCATGTTCAGAGACATGCTAAACTTCATGAACATGATCGGGAGTGGTCTGATATGTGCGTGATTGGGCCCTGGGTGAGAGGAAGAGTTGGCAGCACAGGCGGCGTCAGAAGCAGGAGCGGGCATCCCCTGCGGTCCCACACTGCCGACATGAAAGGCTGTTTAGTGTTGGAGCAGCAGCATCAAACAACCACCTCCTCTTGCATCCTTTCCCCATCCCCCCCTTTCTATTGACTCTCACAACAATATGATATAGTTCTGCTGTTGCACGTTTACACAGTCGCTATGGTTACCCGATGTTGGAGGTGTCACAGCGAGATAACCCAAGGAGGCATTCACAGATCACCTGAATTCAGTTCGCCTCCCATTTATGTGCCGCAATTTCATTTATTTGTTTCCCTGCCGCGCAATTCAGTGTGAATACAAATAATCCTCACCATAATAGAGATAGCAGAGGTATACAGAGCAGAGTACATTCAGTCGATTACATCCTATTGTGGGATATTTCTCAACCACAGGAGCCGATTAAGATGTTTTTCAATGTTAAAATGTGGCAGCCTTTACAAATAATAAAATTGCAACAACTCTATAGCACATTCGGCACCCTTGACAGATACATACATGTACATGATAGATGAAATTACTATAATATTATATCGACAGAATTGAGCATGCTGTTGAGGAAAGGAGATTGAATGAAGAAGTGGGAAATGACAGCTTCATGATGGTAGGCAAGAGTGCATACATTGAAAATAAGATAAAATAATGTATTTAGCATGAAGTGACAAAATAAAAGGGGTTATACTCATGTAAGAAAGACGGAACAGGAGGGAGGGAGAGATTGGAGGAGAAGGTAGATGTCAGAGGGTGGGATACATCCATTAGTCTTCCATCCTCCTGGCCCATTCTCAGAGCAGCGCCAATCCTAATGCTGATACAACAGTGAAGGAGACAAGGCTGGCACTAAGCCAGACTGGCACCCACATCAAACGTACAGTACGCCCCACCGCATCAGCTTACACAGGCAGGCTGAAGGCAGGAGTAGAGGAGGACAGATGGATTGATGGAAATGAAAGTGGGTGGTTTGACGTACATACGGAGCGCGCCTCAAGACTGACTTCCAGGTCGTTCCAGGTTGGCTGAGGTTGACAGGGTCTTGCTTGGTGCCAGCTGCAGCTGTCTTTCAAAATGTGTTTGTGTTTTTCTGCACAAGATCAAATTTCTAAAGCTATGACACCGGTTGACACTGATTGAATAAAGTACAGAGATCTTCCTGGCTGAGTATTTTATTTATTGAGTGAAGACAATGACGTGCCACTGTGATTTAGTAAAGGCCGTCCGTCAGATGTAATCATTTGTCAGCAAGGACAAACTTTTAAGTCTGACAGCTTCTGTGAATGTATCACATAGCATTGCCACCACAAAAGCACTAGGTATTGTGAAACATAGTGATATGTCAGATTAAAAAACCACCTGGGATCATATGTTTCAAAGCCTACAGTTCCACATAGCATTGGAACTTGAGTAGTTTAAATGGCAGTATTTGTTATAGTATAGAATGTCTTAATACGGAACGTAGGTAGCACAACTTCCCCACAGGGTCAATAAAGTGTACCTTTACCCAATTTATCATCACCGCTTTTGAAATAAAATGTGACACTCAACTCATCTGACGAAACCATTTTTCTCCCCCTCTCTCTCTCTGTGCAGAACTCTATCCGGCACAACCTGTCTCTTCACACGCGATTCATCCGGGTCCAGAATGAGGGAACAGGCAAAAGCTCATGGTGGATGCTGAACCCAGACGGGGGAAAGATGGGCAAAGCACCACGGCGCCGGGCTGTTTCCATGGACAACAGCACGAAATACCTGAAGAGCAAAGGCCGCATCAGGGGCAAGAGAGTGGGTCGCCCTGGTATTGGAGCTGGAGCTGGTGTAGTAGGACTCCAAGGATCACCTGACCGAGGCAGTCCTCCTCAGAAAATTCTTCAAGGTTCAGTAGTAACTTCAACTGATGGGGAATTTGATGCTTGGACAGAGCTCCACTCGAGAGCCAGTTCTTCTGCCTCAACGTTAAGCGGACGTCTGTCACCAATCCTCGCAGAAGGAGAAGCAGGAGAACCCGAGGAGGGGGTTCTGTCTTGCTCTACTTCCCCGCACCTTTACCCCTCACCGACCAGTGCCCGCTCTCCATCAATGGGTGCTGTAAACCACTGTCCGTCCTTGGAGCAGCTGCCGCAACTTGCCAGTCTAACCGGCGCCATTAGCCTGGATGAGCAGCTAATGGATGATTACCATCACCATCATTCACAGCAGCACCACTCATCTGTTGGGCGTCATAAGCACCAAAGCCCAGTCTACCACTACAGCCCTGCAGTGAAGGGCTCTTACAGTGCTGGTGTTTATGGAGGAACTGGCATGAGTATGTTGCGGCATCATTCACCCATGCAGACCATTCAGGAGAACAAGCCTGCCAGCTTTTCTGGAACAATGCGGGCGTACTCCAGCACAAATGCTCTTCAAAGCCTTCTAACGTCAAATGGGCAGTACTGTTCTAAAGACATGATGTTAGGACAGGAAAGAGAGAGCCACTCGATGATGAGCCAAACTAGCAATGGAATTGGCTCCAACCATCACAATCACCACAACGGTCACCTCAATGGCCACAGTCACAACCATAACGGACCTCATAGCCATAGCAGAACTCACAGCCATACACCCAACCACAGCTCACCTCACAGCCTGGCTCACAACGGTCACGGCCTGAGTCAGAGCCACACGCCGCCTCAGGCACAAGCTCTGGCCCCCAGAGGCAGCAACAATCAGCTGCACACCTACAACCACAAAGCCCCATACTTGTACAGTCCCCCATCACACGCACATCTCCCAGCCACCACCACGCTCCCCCCCAACCCTGCAGGCATGCTCGGTATGCCCCAGGACTCCTGCCACGTGGCTGCTGCCCCTCATCCACGGCATAGTCATTACTCGGACCATCAACACCAAGGCATTTCAAATGGACAGTACCACCATGGTCAGGGCATGGGGGGCAGTGGGCACAGCAGCTACCATAACTATGACCAACACCTCCCACACGAGAGACTACCAGCGGACCTGGACATTGACATGTTCCACGGGAGTCTAGACTGTGATGTGGAGTCAATTCTCCTCCATGATATCATGGACTCTGGGGAGGAGATGGACTTTAACTTTGACTGCTCACTGGCCCAGGGGGTGGGAATTGGGATGGGCATGGGGATGGGTGTGACTATGGGAATGGGCATGAGCGGATTGGGAGGACCACAACAAGCTCACAGTAACCAGAGCTGGGTGCCTGGTTAAAGTCTAGGACAATTATATTGTAACCATGTTTGTTACCCATATTGCACTGTGCTTAACTTTGACATTCTTGACTAGAGGACCAATACCCTTCTCTCTCTGTTATCCTGACAACTCCTTGGTTACCCCTCCTCTGGTGCTCCCCTTCCCCCTTTGAGAGATCTAGTTCATGTCACATTTAGTTTTACCTTAGATCAGCTCTACTGTGATGACAATCTCTCAGCTGTGCTTGCCCAACGTTGTTTCTCATCTACCATGAGAACTAAATTCTCAATGCACTTTACTGCAACTGGGTCACATCATCTTGTGCTTTGCTTCCTCTGAGCACTTGGGCAGACTTTGGCATGTTTTGTACTTTGGCTGCAGTTTTTGATAGGAACAAATGAGGAAATCACAAGCTCTGTTGATAAAGTGTCACAACTTGGCATCAAATTACTATTATTATTTTTTCCCCGCGTTAATGCAATTTCTGGCAACCAGGTGACACGCTGTTGTCATGTTTTAATAAATATAAACCACTTGATGCAGTCTTATATTTTCTGTAATTTTCAAAAAAACATTTTAAGCAATTTGAAAAGGCAATCACTCACTTGGAGGATATATAATATTCTCAGTCTTTGGAACTTCTTTTCTGGTATTTAGTTAAAGTTCTCTTGCCCTGCATAATCAAATGTTGTCACCAAGTCATTAAATAAAGTATCATTACAGAAGAACACACAATTTACCAAATTAAAATGTCATATCCCCTTGTTTCACCTGGGCTTTTTGCACTCGCTTTAGCTCATCCTCTCAGCCCTGTCCTCTCTCTCCTCCTGCCACCCAAGACGAAGTAACCATTCTTCACACCAAGCCATTAATGTGGCTTGATTGAAATTCAGCATCTTGCTTTTAATCTGCAAAGTGATGCTGCAGCAATGCGTCATTATTGAGAATCTAAGGCATTGTCCTCTCATCTCTCACCCTTGGCTGTCCGTGCTGGTGTTCGCCTCTGACTGAATGTGCCAAGAAAGTGAGACAAAAGTGTGATTAACGCCACGTCGCCTGCCACTGCGCTCTGAGGAGGCCAATGTCACTGTCCACAAGGGTACAGAATAAAACATGGGAGATAGGAAAGTGCCACCAGTCTTTTGTGTGCTGTCGCGTCAGAAAATAGATAGTATGGCAGTGTTATCCATTGCCTTCAATATCTGTATTTTTGTGTTCTTATGTTCAAGTGGAAAAGTTTGGGGATTAATCAAAGATGCAAAAAAGAGGAAACAATCAAATCTGAGGAGCCACTTACGCGATCATAGTTGTTTGGAAAATAGAGACATTTTTCAGAAAACCACTTCATTTCAACTTGTGATTGGCTGATAGGATAGTATTATTTTAATTTGTATATTTTTTACGCAACACAAGGTTATGTAGAAATTTAGAGTCAGATGCAGCATATGGACAATCAGTTATCCACCTATTTGCGACGGGATCAATTACATAGTTACGGAGGGGTAAACAAATCTGCATGACAACAGCTAGTTCTCTATTAGCCTGACACACGGCCAAGGTAGCTCTCAGCTGGATTCACGATAAAAGTTGTCAGTTGTCAATAGAGGTCAAGAGCATATATTTCTCCATCCGTAACTATGGAAATGATCACCCTGTAAACAGGTGTACATGACCCAACGTTATTATTGTTTTGAGTTTTATGGTGGATTACACTATTACATGATTTACACAAAACAAGACTGTGTTTTCCGATCTTCTAAAAATGCAAAATAATCATATTATTCTACAGCATTTATGTAAATCTATGAACATTTATGGCCATTGGTCATCTGCCCCTTATGGACCAACGGCTCAACTTGGTGTGTTTGAACTCTTTGATTCTCTGAAATGAGTTGATGAATTGACGACTTTGTGAAGTCCTCAGAGACTATTATGATTTAGGGCTGTACAAAAAAAACACCTTTGAATTGAACTGAATTGAATCATACGGTTCACATAGATCGCCTAAATTGTGGTTTTAACTCTTCTATTTACACAAAACAATGTCAAATTTTTGCAAACTTTCTAAACGACAAATCATAATTAGACCATGCAGAACTTTACAATTTCAGTAACTGTGCAATGATGAATTAATGAGCTGTATTTTGCTATTTTAACTCTGATATCATGTAAGTGGCTCCTAAACAGTCTCCAGGCCCTCTGCCAGTTCACATGTTCCCATCCCCCTTTATATGTCTCTATCTGTATGTCTCGTAGAGGTTGTTGTGTTGTTGAAATCTCAAGGACCAACGAGGACCACGCTGAAATACCGACAGTTATAACGAGCGGCAGTGTACGGGCAAAACGCGGCCTGACCTTCCCGTGCGCCAAGACACCCCCCCCTCACCCACCCTCACCCTGTCCGATCCACCCCTCTCTTATCCCATCCCCCATCCCACTTTTGTTGCGTTCAATAGTCTGCAGTTTGTGAGATGGGTTAGAGTGGTTGGTCTCATCTGAGAACACTGGCCTTGAGAGAAGAACTGAAAAGAGGACACCCCTACTCTCCTGTCCCCTCAAGGAGAGATGGGCCGTACCAAGTGCATAATGGGGAACGGGGGGGTCAAGCACAGCACAGACTATCAAACCTATTATTGGGGCAAATCTCTTCATTTCAGGGCTTTTAGCTGCGCTGGTTCCAGTTCATTTTTCTATGGGTAATTGGACCTCTTAACGCAGTGACATTATGACCTATGCTAGCACAGCCCTGCCATTGAAAATAAATCTATTATACAGTTTATGATGTCTAATTTTGCTATATTTATTTAAGACAGAAATCGGTCTCTCTTTAATGTTGGTGTTGTTTGCTTCATTTTTCATTTTCTCTCTGTTAATTTTATAAAATGTCACTCGCCCTTTACCCTCTTACTGATGTTTATTTTGTAAAAAAGCTATATATTAAGAATATTGTAATATAGTTTTTGAAAGCTGAAAAGAATATCAGTTTTGTTGTCTATTTCTTTTTTAAGAGAATGTATCATCATCTGGTGACTGTTAAATAAATCAAATGAAACAATAACATGTCGGAGACTTTCTTCAAAAAAATAATAAACTTGATACTTGATAAAAAGTCCTCATTCCACATACAAGCTTTGGCCATTACATTTGAGAGTCGAGACACAGATATTTATTCAACTTAGTGTCTTTAATTGGATTTCAACAATATGGACATTATTTACGATTTACCTCACTTCATAAACTAATATAATACTCACTACGACAGTTAACGTGTGGCAAAACTGAGCATAACTGCTACAATGATATCCTGCTGTACCTCTCTGTATTTCCATCCATCCATCCATTTTCTTCCGCTTCATCCGTTGCCGGGTTGCTGGGACAGCAGTCTAAGCAGAGACCGTTAGACCCAGACTTCCCTATCCACACATCCCAATCCCTATCCTCTGTGTTTCAATTTACATTTGAGCTTTTGTCAGCCAAAATTAAATCCATCACACATAATAGTGTAGGGATTTCAGTTCATAAACTTCTAATTGTGACCAACTTAAAAGCAACTAAACTAAACTAAAAATATAATGTTTTTGCTCCATTTTTTATAGGTTCAACCTGAAAAAATACAGGACTCTCTCCATATATATATATGTGTGTGTGTGTGTGTGTGCGTACGCACGTGTGAACGTGTGCTTTTATGTCTCTGTGTGTGCGCATGCATCTGTGTGTGCGTATTTAAGCAAGGTTATATTTCTAGAGGGCATATTTGTAATTTGTGAAGAAAGTCATAAAAGGCAATGATCCAATAAATGTATTGGATTGCACACAGTAACAAATACTACACAAAATACATTTTAGGTCATGTATTCAGTATTCTGTAACGGGATACAAAGTATTCTACTCAACACTGAATACAGGTGCCTTCAGCTGACCATGATAAGAAACCATGTTCAGTATCAGGTGTGACATCACTTGCCTCATGCAGTGCAACACATCTCCTTCACACAGGTGTCTGTTGGTCGTGGTCTGGGGAATGTTGGTCCAATCCTCTTCATTGACTGAACGATGTTGTGGATATTTGCAGGAACTGGAACACAGCAATCGTCTACCGCAATCCAGAGCATCCCAAACATGCTCAAAGTGTGACATGTGTGGTCAGTTCTGCAGGCGACACCAGGTACAGTGTGTCCAGGTGACGTGGTCGACCCGGTTTCACTGTTCAGAGCAGATGGCCGACAGTGCGTGTGATGTCGTGTGGGCGATAAGCTGACGTCAACATTGTGGATGGAGTGGCTCACGGCAGCGATGCAGTGATGGGATGAGCACTCATACATTATGGACATTAGCGCAGGTGCAGTACATTGATGACATTTTGAATGCACAGATACGATCCTGAGGCCCATCTTGGTGCCATTCATCCACAACCATCACCTCATGTTGCAGGACGAAAAGGCTCGACTGCACAGCATGTTTGTACACGCTACAGCTGATATCATCCCAGTTCCTGCACAGCCATGCTCTGGATCGATCGATACAACAGTGTGTTCCAATTTTTGTTAATATCCAGCAACTTTGCACAGTCATCGAAGAGGAATGGACTAACATTACAGGCCACAATGGACAACCTGATTATCTCTGTGAAGGGGATGAGTTGCACTGTGTGAGGCAAAGGGTAACACACCTGATACGGACTGGTTTTCTGTCTTAGCCAGGCCTTAGCCATCCTTAAACTCCGTAATTATTTCCTACATGTACGTCTGGGTCTGATCTTAGTGGCTGTGGTTACCTTGGTTGAATCCCCTCCAACCAATCAGTGAGCGGAGGAGGCGGCTGCTGTAGGTAGCTGTAGGTGACGTCAAAAGTATGAGCTGAATATACAGGTTAAAGTTTGGCGGCAAATGTGATAGTAAAGTAATCCGTTCTGGTTCGGCTCCAAATCCTCCAGCAAGAGGACTGTTTAGCAAATTTCAATGCTGAAAAGATGTTGTGGCTCTGCTGCACAAGGGCTGTGTTAGAGAGCTAATGCTAGG